TGTTTTTTCCCGCTTGTGCCTTCACAGGTTTGCTTGCTTGGCTGTGTGCAGGTAGTGCATGAACCGTAGCCATTCGGGAGGTTTACTACCGTTAGATCCGGAGCCAGAACACACATGTTGCCAGCTAAGGAGACAACAGTGAGCGAGACTGGCTACGGAGGAAGTGCGCATCGACGGCCCTTTGAGCAGCGATTCTGAGGAGGAGTACGAGATGGAAGGTGCGCAAAACCCGCCCCAGGGGATGTCTCTCCAGGTTCCCCCAGTGAATCAGATCATGGGGAACAACCCAGTTCCCTAGGCAGATGGGGTCAGCATCAACCACCATCGCTGGGTCCTACCATGGAGTATTACTACACTCCATGGGTCGCCGATATCCGCCCCGTCATCCTCTATCCGCCCATTCCAGCGAACAACTTCGAGATCAAGCCATGCTGGATTCAACTGATTACATCTTCGATCCAGTTCCATGGCTTGAAGGATGAGGAGGCAAGGGTGCACCTTACTCGGTTCCTGCAGGTGACAAATGGATTCAAGATGAATGGTGTACCCGATGATGCGATCCGTCTCCACCTTTTCCCCCATTCATTGGCGGGGCATGCGACGAGGTGATAGAGACCCAGCCCCCACTATCCAGGGTGCTATACTGCAGGATCTCAAGAATCATATTGGTGGCATTGCTCGCCAAAATAACACCAGAGCACCGGGGACTTTGCCTGCCAACACCATTCCAAATCCTCGCGAACCTCACCAGCAGCTGGATCCCATCACTACTAGGAGTGGCAAGACCACATATGCTGCTCCTGCCCAGGACAGGCAAGAAGAGCCACTACCTACTTCAACACTTCCAGCTTATGATGCAAAAGTAGGGATGGAGAAAGAAGCACCTGCTCCCAAGCCACAGCCAGTGGTTAAAGAGCATGTATCCCAGCTTTCCTTCCCCACTCGCCTACACAAAGACAAGCTGGAGACTGAGTTTGCCAAGTTCATGGCAATGTTGAAGCAGGTCAACATCAGCATGCCGTTCGTGGAGGCATTGTTGAAGATGCCCAAGTACGCTAAATTTATGAAGGATCTCCTCACCAACAAGAGGAAACTTGGGGATCTCTCGACAGTGATGTTGAGCGAGGAGTGTTCTGCTATCCTGCAGACCCAGAGAGTTTTACTATCCCTCTTGTTATTGGCAGCATGCATGTAGGGATGTCCTCGGCGGATTTAGGCACTAGCATATATGTCATGCCTTATAAATTGTTTAAGAAGCTAGGCCTAGGTGAACCTAGAGCTACTAGGATGAGCATTTAGTTAGCTGACCGTTCTATTATGCATCGTAGGGGTATCATAGAGGATCTACTTGTTAATGTAGGTGCATTCACATATCTTGTTGATTTTGTTATTTTGGATATTAATGAGGATGTGGATGTGCCTTTGATTCTGGATATACCATTTCTCGCCACTGCCAAGGCGCTTATTGATGTGCATTGTGGTAAATTGATCTTGCGTTCTGGGGATGAACATGCTACTTTTTCTGTGTCCGAGAATGGGAAACACTCCCATTTGCATGATGATGTAGATTACTATGATGTGCTTTCTGATTTTGAGACCGCACTCGCTATAACGAGTGCGGGTACTGACGATGCTCTTGAGCGTTGTATTTTGCTAGGTGAGCAGGTATCGCAGGAGCCACAGTTTGAGGAGCAGTTGGTCGCGCTAGAGAGTGGCGCATTCATGGAGGGCGATAGGCTGTTTAAACCGATCTCATCCTCTCCTTGCATCACTACCTCCTTAGAGGAGCCACCAGAGCTGGAGCTAAAGCCCCTCCCTCCTTATTTGGAGTATGCATTCGTCCGGGATGGGAATAAGCTTCGAGTCATCATTAGCTCGACCCTCACACCCAAGCAGAAGGTCAGACTGGTGGCCTTTCTGAAGCAGTACGAGCGAGCTCTGGCGTGGAAGATCAATGATATCCGGGGGATCAGCCCCTCCTCCTGCTCCCACCAGATACTGATAGAGGATGAGATGCGACCAGTGAGACATCTCAAGAGGAGACTGACACTGAACCTGGAGGCTGTGGTTCAGGTAGAGATTGTGAAGCTGGTGGACGCGGGGATCATCTTCGCCATTTCCGACAGTGAGTGGGTCAGTCCCACCCAGGTGGCATGACCGTGGTGCCTAACGAGAAGAACGAGTTCATCCCGATGCGCACGGTGACTGGGTACCGTGTCTGCATCGATTACCGGCGTCTCAACGATGCCACTTGGAAGGACCACTTCCCGCTTCCATTCATTGATCAATTGCTGGAGAGGCTGGCGGGGCACGAGTTCTACTATTTCATGGATGGGATGTTCGGGTATTTCCAGAACCCCATTGCACCGGGGGACCAGGCGAAGACCACTTTCACCTACCCTTTCAGCACATTTTCCTACGATAGGATCCCATTCGGGTTGTGTAATGCCCATGCCACTTTTCAGCGATGCATGCTCGCCATCTTTGACCGCCTGGTTGGTGAGATTATGGAGGTGTTTATGGACGAATTTTCGGTTTATGGGGACTCATTCTCTCACTGTCTCCATAACCTAGAATTCATCCTTAAACGATGTGAAGAAATGAACTTGGCACTTAGTTGGGAGAAGTGTCACTTCATGGTTTGCGAAGGCATAATTCTTGGGCACAAGATCTCCAAGATGGGGATTGAGGTGGACAGGGCCAAGATCGAGACCATCAGTAAGCTGCCTCCTCCCACATCTGCTAAGGCGATCCGGAGTTTCTTAGGCCCTGCAGGGTTCTACAAGCGGTTCATCAAGGATCGCCCTGCCCCTGACAAAGCTCCTTGAGAAGGATGCCCCCTTCCAGTTCACTGATGCATGCACAGCAGCATTCACGACCTTGAAGGAGAAGCTCACTCATGCTCCTATCATGGTCGCCCCTGACTGGTCCCTACCGTTCTAGCTGATGTGTGATGCCAGTGACATTGCTGTTGGAGCTGTCTTGGGGCAGAGGCGAGATCAACACTTCCGTCCTATCTATTACGCCTCGAAGACCCTCAATGATGCCTAGGAGAACTACACCACCACGAAGAAGGAGCTGCTCGCGGTGGTGTTTTCCTTCGACAAGTTTCGTCCTTATCTGGTCTTGTCCCATATGACCGTGTACACAGATCACTCCGCAATTCGATACCTAATGAGCAAGGCCGATGCCAAGCCTAGGCTCATACGATGGATCTTACTACTGCAGGAGTTCGACATCGAGATTCAGGACAAGAAGGGAGGTGAAAATGTTGCTGTTGATCACCTTTCCCGGTTGGACGTACCACCTGCGAACAACCTTGTGGAGGAGATCGACGACTCTTTCCCAGATGAGCGACTGATGATGATGTGCCTGGTGGACAGTGTCACCCCTTGGTACTCCGATTTGGCAAATTATCTGGTGGGCCAACAGCTGCCTAAGGGGATGACAACTCACACCAAGAGGAAATTCTTCTCCGACCTGAAGCATTACTTCTGGGATGACCCTAATCTCTTCAGGATCGGAGCCGACGGGATCATCCATCACTGTGTACTGGAAAGTGAGATGGAGGGCATTATATCTCACTGCCATGAGGGACCTACTGGCGGTCACCACGGCGGTAACCGCACGACGAGAAACGTGCTACAGTCGGGTTTTTACTAGCCCACGCTCTTCTAGGATGCAGACGCCTTCGCACTCAAGTGCGACCGATGCCAGAGGTCAGGTAATATCTCTGCCCTTGATGAGATGCCCCAGAATGTATTTATAACCGGTGAGATTTTTTATATCTGGGGTATCGGCTTCATGGGCCCTTTTCCTCCATCCTTTGGCAATACCTACATCTTAGTTGCTATTGATTACGTCTCTAGGTGGGCTGAGGTGCAAGCTTTGCCCACTAATGATGCTAGACATGTTTATGGATTTTTGATGCAGCTATTCTACCGGTTCGGGATACCTAGAGCCATCACAAGCGATCGAGGCACCCATTTCCAGGGCCAGTTTGATAAGTTAGTGTCTCCCTATGGTGTCACTCATAAGGTGTCTGTGGCCTATCACCCTCAAACGAGTGGCGAGACTTAGCTGACGAATCGAGAGCTCAAGCGTATACTGGAGAAAACGGTGGATCAGTCCCGCAAGGATTGGTCCACCAAGCTCGATGATTCACTCTGGGCATACCGCACTGCCTACAAGACGCCAATTGGTACTTCTCCGTACCGGCTTGTCTATGGAAAGGCATGTCATTTGCCCATGGAGCTAGAGCACAAGGCCTTTTGGGCCCTTAAACTGTTCAACTTGGATGTTAGTGTTGCAGGTTTTGAACGGAAAATGCAGATGCTGGAGTGGAGGAATGGCGTTATCACGCCTATGAGAACACCAAGCTGTACAAGGAGCACATTAAGCGCCTGCACGATGCACGGTTGCGGGGTCCGGAAGAGTTTCAGGTTGGTGATCGAGTTCTCCTCTATAACTCTCGCATGAAACTCTTTCCTGGAAAGCTCCGCTCCCGGTGGTCTGGACCGTTCATGGTCACACAGGTGTTCCCGTATGGCACGATTGAAATTGTAAACTCGCAAACTGAACCGTTTAAAGTGATTGGCAATCGTCTCAATCTCTACCTGGGAGACGAGGTCGAACGTGCGGAGTTGGTGGTTGAACTTGCAGACTCTTAGTTCCGCCATGGGCGTCCAGCTAAAAGTCAGTAAAGAAGCGCTCATGGGGAGGCAACCCCACCACGGTTTGCATTTTTTTTCTTTTCTTTGTTTTGTGTCGTGTTCGAGTCAGTTGCACGTCTGTGTTGAAGTTAGGTCGTCTGATCTGCCTCGGTTTGGTGTTTTCGTGCAGGGGAGTTCGAAAAGATGAGAAAAAGTATTTTTTGGCAGAAAAGGAAAAAATACATGGCCGTGACACAAAATACCAAAATACCCGACCGGGTATTTTTGTGTCGCTATGGGGACCCCTTCTGTGTTCTGGGGCGAAAAGGGGCAAAAGGCCGACCTTGACTCAAAAATACCCGATCGGGTATTTTTTATCCAAGGTCGGGGATTTTCCCGCACGTGGTACGCTAGTTTTTGCAGCCTCCGACCGTGGCCTCCAAAATACCCGACCGGGTATTTTTTCTTTATAAGCAAACCCCCGGTCAGAACTTTCTCTCTCCTCTCATTATTTTCCAAACTTCCCCTTTCTTCCCTCTCATTTCCTCTCCCCTCTCTCCCGCGTGAGCACTGCCGGCCACCGGTCTGCCGCCGTCGCTGGCCGACTTTCCAGCGACTTTCCGACCACCTTCCAGCCAATTTACGGTGACCTTCCGGCCACATTCCGACCATTTTCCGGCGAGCTTTTCCGACCCGTTTTGAGGGTGGTTTCGCGTCCTTCACCCTCTCCTTGAGTTTCCAGAATCATGTCGCTCGATAACCCGTTCATGCAGGATCTGCGAGGGTGGCTGATGGCGGTAGAGATCTCATTCATGCAGTGAAGCTGCTCGAAGAACCCCCCCCCCCCCCCCCCCCCCCCCCCCCCCCGCGCTCCAAATGGTGATGGCACTGGAGCACTCCGTGTACACAAAGCTGGTGTGGGAGTTCTACACCACCTTCCGGTACCGCTCCAAAGAGGCCAGAGACTTCCCCACTGATGTCACCTTCAGGTTGGGTGGCAGCCCACGTCAGATGAGCATCAATGGGCTGGCCTTCTCCCTGGGGATCCAGTACCACCCCTACTCCCGCCATGAGGTAAAGATCCCACATCCGAAGGACTGGAACCAGGATGAGTTCTACCGCCGGATAGCTCGACGCGCCTATGGGATGGACTACTTCGACGCCGGCTAGACATATGTCTCCATCCTCAAGCCGCAGTGGCACATCCTCAACCTGCTGATCACCCGCTCGATTGTCCCCAACGCCATTGGTTCCCACAAGATCCCGAAGCGGGTGCTATACACCTGGGGGACCCGGATCATATGCTCCATTTGGGTTCCTTCATGGCCACCACCTTGTCTTGGTGCCACGGGAAACCCAACCACCTCTTTTGTGTTCCCCTTATCACCAGACTGGCGCGCCACTTCGAGATCGATTTGGAGGGCCTCACGGATGCCACAGCACGGGGCGGCTCCATCCCACTCAGCCAGGAGGTGCTTCACAACGCGCTTCTACTGGCCACTGATGGAGCGTGTTCTAGGGTGGATGGGCTATCTCTGCCTCCCAAGGAGGATGCAGATCTTGATGAGGACGAGACCTACACCGGCGATGATGAGGCCCAGGATGATGATGAGGAGGACGAGGACTACACCGGCGAGGATGAGGCCGAGGATGATGATGATGATGGTGGGGCCATGGATGCTGATGAGCCGGAGCCCCCACTCTCCCCCGAGGGGATCTTCAGCCACGACGGAGATCCGAGTGAGGCGAGTCCTGCTCCGATCCTTCTGGTCCTTTGATGGCTTCTGGTCCATAGATGGACTTCTTCACGGAGCAGTTCCAGCAGACGGGGCTCCAGTTTCAGCAGCTCGGGCTCTAGAACTAGCAGCTCATGGACCATCTGGTCCAGTTTTACCAGCAATATTCGGCCCACTAGGCCGAGTACCAGTCACGGATGACGGTTCTGGACGAGCGCCTCGACCGACTGGAGGCTCAGCTGGTAGTCACTAGGGCTCGGATCGAGCGGGAGCGGGATCGTGGCCGCCGGATGATGGAGTACCAGGAGCACCTGCTCCAGTCCTGCCGCCCGCCTCAGGAGCACCACTGGACCACCCGGTGGGACCACTCACAACCCCGCCACCAGCGACAGATGGGGTTGACAACCTCATGGATCAGATCGACTTCAGCAGGCTCGAGTAGGCTGTACTCGTTGCTCGTTTTGTGTTGCTTATGTTTTGGTTAGGAGTGCAAACTGTCTTTTATTTTGGTTTATTTTCTTTTCTTTTGGATGATGTATTATTGGGCTGACAACTAGACCTAACGTATTGTGGCTGAGTTCCTTTGTTCCCTTTAGTTGTGCCTTTGCACCGATTGGTCCCATTTCCAGTCCGTTTCACTCCGGCTGGTCCACCTTCCAGTCTCATGCAGTCCGCGTACACCGGTAACATCGTTCCCTTCTCTTTCCCTCTTCTCCATTGAGGGCAATGTCGAACTTAAGTGTGGGTTGGGATGCTTCTATTTTGACTACTTAGATCTGTTTGTGTGCTTGGAGCCTAGTCCATTGTCCAAATTTCGATTTGAGGGCTTTAAGTACGTGTTCCTTGCAAATTGTCTGCTCAGTGTGCTTTGAATTAACAATCTCTATTAGGGCTGTCAATTCAGTTTCCGGTTAGCGGTTAACCGGCCGGTTTAACCGTTAACCGCCGGTTATCGGCTAACCGGAAACCGAAATTTATGTTAGACGGTCGGTTGTCGGCAGTGTAAATGGTTAGGCGGTTAGCCGAGTAACCGAAGCCGGTTAACTGGCTAACCGGCGCTAACCGACCGACGATACGACGTCGTTTTGTCTAAGAGTAAAAACGACCCAACCCTAGGCCCTCCCTCTTCGTCTTCGGCCTTAGCAGATCGCAGCAGCCAGCCTCCAATCTCCCTCCCAGTCCCAGCCTCCGAGTCGCTCAGCCGCCACTCCTTCTCCCTCACGACCGGCGACCCCGACCCCCTCCTTCTCCCTCACCCTCACGACCGGCGCGGCGACCCCCTCATTCGGTCGACAGTCCCAGGCTCCCAGCTCTCCGACCCCGCCGCCCTACTTCTCGTCGCCCCGCCGCCCTCCTTCTCGTCGCAGCAGCTCGTCCGTCGCCCATTTTGAAGCCGCACTGCAGTAGGCCAGCAGCTCGTCGAATTAATGTAGGTCGAATTAGTGTATTCAACATTCAATTATGTAGGTCGAAGTCATTTGGTGTAGGTCGAATTAATTTGGTGGATTGGTGATGATTTTGGTGGATTGGTGAATTAATTTGGTGGATTGGTGATGATTTTGGTGGATTGGTGATGTTCTGTGATTAATATAATGATGTTTAAATTTTGAATTTTTGATTATGAATGTTGAATGATGATTTTGGTGGATTGGTGATGATTTTGAACATATAATGATGATGATTATTGATTAGTGATTGAAAATGCTTAGTCTCATTACCAAAAGTAATTAGAAATGTAAAATGATGATGAATGATGTTTTTGGTTGATGAATGATGATCATTGATGATGATTGTTAGTTTTTAGTTGTTAGAATTTGTGAATTTAGGGCGATTGATTATGAATGTCGAATGATGATTGTTAGTTCCTGATGTGATTTGATGTAGGGCGAGACCTCCGGCTCCACGTGGTGGACGTGGCGGACGAGGTGCACCATCCGCTGAGATTGCTTCTCGTGGTGGGAGACCTCCGGCTCCTCGAGGTCGTGGTGGTGCGGGTGCCTCAGCCCCTCCTACTCATAATCGGGGTCGTGGTGGACGTACAGGAAGTCGGCCTGTTCAGTCTGGTGAACCGTCAACGTCGGCATCAATTGCATCGACTCCCGCCCATGTCAGTAGTGGAAGTACACCTGCTGCTGAGGCTCCTTCAGTAGAAACGGTTAATCCGGCTTCAAATAAAACTAAAGACGATCCCTTCAATCTAGAGAGATGGTTGGAGACAAAGGGTTCAGCTGATTGCTGGAAGGACTTTACGAAGGTGGCAGTGGATGAGTATCCGTTTGGAGAGTGCAAGCATTGTCATACTAAGATCAAAGCACATCCATTCAAGAATGGCACTTCTGCAATGAATAACCATCGGAAATCCTGTTTGGCTAAGGTTGCAGCATCCAAGGATCAGACTGTTCTGAACTTGCAGGCCGCAGATGGTAGTGGAAGTCAAGTAAGTGCTTTATGGAAGTTTGATCAAGCAAAAGCAAGATATTCCTTAGCCATGATGATTATAATGGATGAATTGTCTTTTCGCTTTGTGGAAAGAGACGAGTTTAAGCAGTTTATGCATACGGTTCAACCACTGTTTAAGATACATGGGAGGAGAGGTATAAGAGATGATTGCTTTCATATATTCTTGGAGAAAAAAATGAATTTGATAGAGTTTTTTGAATCAAAGAGTAAAGGCAGAGTTTCAATCACCACGGATACGTGGACTTCTGACAACAACAAAAATTACATGTGTGTGACTGCACACTTTGTTGGAGGTGATTGGAAGTTGCAGAAGAAGGTGATCTCCTTTGTTCCCATCACAAGTCATACAGGAATTGATATTGCAGAGAAGCTTGCAGAAATTCTTGAAGAATGGAAGGTGAAGAATTTGTTCTGCATGACCATGGACAATGCATCTACAAATGATATTGTGAGTGATTGCATGAGAAGGAAATTAAAGGAGTGGGGGTGTGATTTGATGGATGGGAAGTATCTGCAGTTTCGATGTGTCGCACACATCATTAATCTGGTGGTGCAATATGGATTGAAAATAATCGGAGGAGCTGTGGATAGAATTCGGGACTGTGTGAAGTGGGTGAGGTCATCGCCAGCTAGGTTGGCAAGGTTCAACACTGCTATGCAATTTCTGGAGTTGGATTCTACCAAATTGGTGTGTTTGGATGTACCGACCAGGTGGAACTCCACCTATGTCATGTTAGAAGCAGCAAAAAGGTTTGGTGGAGTGTTTACCACCTTGTATACAAGTATACATGATCATTCCTTCAGGGATTACATTGACGCAAGAGGTGGTCTACCAACTGAACATGATTGGAGTCTGATTAGAAAGTTGATGAAGTATCTGAAAGTCTTTAATGACTTTACCCTCCTATTCTCGGGTAAGTGAAATTTTTGCTAACTTTGTTTATTTTAAGTTGAACATTTGACAAATTTGGTTAGTTTAAGTCTAATTTCATGTATTCTATTATAATTTGTACAGGAACTAAATATGTGACTACCTATCTTTTCTTCAAGAAACTTGTTCCAATTTATGACATCATTCAAGAATTGAAGAATGATCCGCGTGAAGAGCTCAAAAGGATGGCAGAAAAGGTTGAAGAAATGGTACAAAAGTATTGGTTTGACACACCTGTCATGAATGAGGAGAATCCTAGGGTGAATCATTTAATCTATATAGCATGTGTGCTTGACTCGACTCTACTGTCACTCCAGGAATTGGCCAAGTGAAACCACTTCCTAAAGCGTAGTATAGCGGGTTTGGGTTTAATTATCAACCCGGGTCCTAGATTTGATGACTACTCAGTGAATTCTTGTTATCTAGCAATAAAACTTGAATGCAAGTCTAGCTAACAAACTAACAAAGCAAGTAAACGGTTGTATTCGGGTTAAAGAGGTCACCCGGATATGGTTCCCCCTAGACTGCAGTTAAGCCGGATTGTAATTACCAAGTTCAGTTTCTATGACAGTTATACTGCGGAAGGTTCTTAAACAGCCTGAAGTCTCGACTAAAGGTCTTCGGACCCTCTCAATCTGACTCTCTAGCGGGCGACTAACCTCCACCGGAGTCGACAGATTGAGGCCCTAAGAACAAAACCTCCACTACCGGAGTAAATCCGGTACAGAATAGTGAGTTGGCTCCTCGACTAAAGTCACCAACTCCCTACCTTCAATCAAGGATACTCTATTAACCTAGTCAGATATTCTCATTCTAGGTTAAAGCAGAAACAACAGGAATTTGATCAGGATTCAAGTCATTCAATCATTAAAACCTCAATCGAATATAATCAATCACAGAATCAGTACTTGGGTTCATACAATCAAAGCCTAACATACAAATCTAGGGTTCTCCATACCCAGATGAATGGGAGAACTACTCCATAGAGAAGAAAGCAAAAGCAGAATCAGACACGGAATTCATACTGCGAAGGATGGATTCCTGCTTCTGGACGTTGATCGGCACTTCTCCAAGCTCAAGCTGGCCTCCAATGGTGTTGAAGATCAATCTAGGGCACTTGGGAACT